CAGGCTATCAGGGCCACCCGGGCTTGACGGTGATACATTATCCCAGAAGAAAGACAAATGTTTGTTTTAGTAGAGGTTTTACGGAGCTCGCAACTGCATAAGGTCATATAAGCGCCAGAAGATTAGAGGTGTTACAATAGAGTAACAAACATAAAAAAGAAGGAGGAGAGATAAGGACGATAGATGTTTGATAGGAAAGAAGAAGCAAACCACACCAGAGCACCCGCCAACCACCCACAAAGACAAATGTACTTGATAAAATTTCTCCCGACTCGGGAATCGAACTCGGATCTCCAGCGTCCCACAGCGAAGAGTCTACCCGCTACACAGCATACGCTGGTGAGAATAGTCGTGTTGTAGAGAAAAACAAAGGGCAGGCCACAATATTATAGAGTGTTCTCTTATTACTGGTAGTAAAAAAAAGTAGAGAAATTGTAGAGCGCGGTCCTCACACACACACACACACACACACACACACACACACACACACACACACACACACACACACACACACACACACACACACACACAGACTCACTGTCCCGTGCTATGGTCCTCCTTCACTAGGACAAAGTCCACCAGAGTGTCCCGGTCCTCCGACCCGCGCTGCAACAACAGCTCTAGCTGGTCCTCCAGGCTCTCCTGGGGACACACAGACAGACACATAGATAGACACACACAGACGGGGGACACACAGACAGATAGATAGATAGATAGATACACACAGACAGATAGATAGATAGACACAGACGGGGGGACACACAGACAGATAGATAGACACAGACGGGGGACACACAGACAGATAGATAGATAGACACAGACGGGGGACACACAGACACACAGATAGATAGACACACACAGACGGGGGACACACAGACAGACAGATAGATAGATAGACACACACAGACGGGGGGACACACAGACACACAGATAGATAGACACACACAGACGGGGGACACACAGACAGATAGATAGATAGATAGATACACACAGACAGATAGATAGATAGACACAGACGGGGGGACACACAGACAGATAGATAGACACAGACGGGGGACACACAGACAGATAGATAGATAGACACAGACGGGGGACACACAGACACACAGATAGATAGACACACACAGACGGGGGA